AAAAAAAAAAAAAAAAAAAAAAAAAACTCTGTTTTTACTTTGTTTCTCTCTCTGCAGCAGGAGGAGGCAGCAGCAGCGGCTTTCTTTTGTTTTCATTTCTCTTTCAAATTTTCTGGGCATCCAAACAGGGGGGGAGTGGAATGAATCAAATGTGATGGGAGGTGGTCTCTGCACGCTCGTTCCTTGCTTCAAAGCGGCATCTGAGCGGAAGAACCACACCGGAGCTTCGCAGCCGGAGCATCAGCAGGACCCGATCTTTACGGCGTCGGAGCCGTTGGATGAGACGCTTGGGCATTCTTTCTGCTACGTGAGATCCTCCAACCGGTTCCTGTCGCCGACGCCGTCTGATCGCTTTGTCTCGCCGTCGCCCTCGCTCCGCTTCTCTCCCTCTCACGACCCGAAGGCTCGGGCCGGACCCGAAACCGCTTTCAAGACCATTTCCGGAGCCTCCGTCAGTGCCAATGCGTCTACACCCAGAACTGTCCTCCAACTTGGCAACATTTACGACGATGCCACTGAGGATACTCTCGGTTACGGCGTCAAGAGCAGTATAGTGAGCGGCAATGGGTTCGAGTGCACGTCGTCGTTTAGCTCGTTGCCGCTGCAGCCGGTGCCACGTGGCTGTGCGGGACCGGGTCATGAACCAATGGAGCGCGGCGGGTTGTTCATGTCGGGTCCAATTGAGCGGGGGGCGTTGTCGGGCCCCTTGGAGGCGAACTCAGGTCCTGAAGGTAGGGTGCATTTCTCGGCGCCGTTGGGTGGCATGTATGTGAAAAAGAAGAGGAAGAAGGGTATCTCTGGAATCTTGAGGAATTTCTCGGAGAAGAAACGGCCGTGGGTGGTTCCGGTGCTGAATTTAGGTAGGAGAGAGAATTCGGGGGAGGAGGAGGCTGCACAGGAGCCGGAAGGAAAGAGCGAGACCGATGTGCAGTGGGCCTTGGCGAAGGCCGGGGAGGACCGCGTCCACGTCGTTGTTTCCGAAGAGCAAGGGTGGCTATTCGTGGGGATTTATGACGGCTTTAATGGCCCGGATGCGCCTGAATTCTTGATGGGTAATCTTTATCGAGCTGTTTTCCATGAACTCCATGGTCTGTTTTGGGAGCTTGATCAAGAAACCGAAAAGAAAACTGAAGATGAAAACGAAAATGAAAATGAAGCCGAAGCTAACCTACCAAACTTAACCAGAACGGACAGTGCAACTAAATCTGAAAAAAACACTGAGATTGAAACGGCTGTTGAGGAGGTCAAGAATGAGGGGGAGGATCTAATTAGGGAAAATGAGTCTGGTGCAGTGCCGCAGGAGAAGGAAAAGAGGGTAACATTTCAATCGGATGGGATAGAGATTAGGCGGAGGCGACTGTGGGAATTTCTTGCGGAGGAGGACCCAGAGGACGGATTGGATCTGTCAGGGTCAGATAGATTTGCATTTTCAGTGGATGATGCAATTAGTGTGAACAATGCGGGCTCTGCCATGAATAAGAGGTGGTTGCTCTTGTCCAAATTGAAGCATGGTTTTTCAAAGCACAGGGAAGGGCATGGTGGAAGCTTCTTGTTTCCATGGAGATTTAGGTTGGAGGAGAAGGAGAAAGTTGAGGAAATAGAAAATAGAGTGGAAGAGAGGACTGCAAAAACTGGGAAGAAAAGGAAAGAGGGTCCGGTTGATCATGACTTGGTCTTGAGGGCATTGTCAAGAGCTCTTGAAGTGACTGAGGCTGCATATTTGGATATGACAGATAAGGTTCTTGACAGAAATCCAGAGCTTGCATTGATGGGTTCTTGTTTGTTGGTGGTATTAATGAGGGGTGAGGATGTGTATGTAATGAATGTGGGGGATAGCAGGGCAATTGTTGCACGGTATGAACCAGAGGAAGTTGGTTGTAGTGTAGAAGGAAGGAGGAGGGGGGAGAGTGGGTCAAGCATGGAGGCTATAGTGGAGGAGACAATGGCTCAGGGTGAGAAGGCAATTAAGGCTGCCAATGAAGCTCCTGCTGAGACCATGAGGTTGACTGCATTGCAGCTGTCAACTGACCATAGCACAAGCATTGAAGAAGTAAGTTTTACATTCTAAAAATTCTCATGTTCATTGGTTGCTATTTGCCTTTATGTATTGGAATCTTAATATCCTTCAACGACACTGGATTGAACACAGTGATTTGATCTTGTATCTCTTGTTGGAGTTCATTTTTTATGCAATTGGTTTTGGCCTGTGTTAACATGGCTTGTCATTTTGCTATACTTGAAAGTAGCATAGAAGCTCTACATCCTGTCACTTCCATATGCCAGATTTATAACTCAATTTCTGCTTGAAGGATGGATGCTGCATAGTGATTCAGTATCAACTTATATAAATATTCTTAGTTGCTAAATTTCTTTTAGTGCATTAACAGTTTCCCTGAGATTCATGATACAATCAACTAGAAATACTTGTTTGGCCTCATGTTAATGCAACATTGCATGAAATATGCAAGTTTCTTGCTGCATTATTCCTGCTCCAAACCATAGCAAGGTTTAGGAATCAGGATAATCAAAGCAACCTGAAAAACAATTGGATGAAAAAACCTTCCATTTCTTGGAGTTTGAAAGTTTTTTGATGTAGCTGTTGTCCTGAAGGCTTGAAGCTTTCAAGAATGGTTGGTATTAACAGTTGGTATTTGAACTAAATGGGTCAGTGTAAACTTCTGCAATAAGTATTAGCCTGATGCTCAGAATAGAGAACAAATGTGAGCTATTTTGGATGAGTTTATATTGCCTATGTGTTTGCTATTAGGATAAAGTTTTACTTTGCTGTGAGTCAGCAATGTATGCAATTTAGATTGTTTTTTAAGACTATAGGCACTCTCTAAATTGAAACTTTGTAAAGCTTAATCAATTTCTTTTTCATAAAAAAATAGTAAATGAAACTGAGTATAGCTATGATATCTATCTTCTGTACTTGCTAAAATTTCATACTTTGGTACCTGCAGGAAGTTACAAGAATCAAGAACGAGCACCCAGACGATAGTCAATGCATTGTCAATGATAGAGTCAAAGGTCGTTTGAAGGTTACCAGAGCATTTGGGGCTGGATTTTTGAAACAGGTTTTCTTTACATGCCTTAATATATATTTGAAGTTTCAAGTGCTATGAGTTTCTGATTAATTGTGTTTAATATAGGTATTGTATGAAGAAAAACTCATAAATAAACTTTTTATTGCATTTATTGATTGTATGATTCTATGTTACGCTACAATGCACTACATTAGAATTCATGTGCTTGTTTGCATGAGCCTGCCCAAAATAAAGTTGCTGGTGTAATTTATGCACTAGACGAAGCACTCAAGTGTGCTAAAAATTTTAAGGAATATAACCAGGTTACCTAATAAAATGATATGCATGTTCCTGCAGCCAAAGTGGAATGATGCATTATTAGAGATGTTTCGTAATGAGTACATTGGTACTGCCCCATACATATCTTGCTCGCCTTCTCTCTGTCACCACAGGCTCTGCCCAAGGGATCAATTTTTAGTCCTATCTTCCGATGGATTGTATCAGTACCTCAGCAATCAGGAAGTGGTTTCTCAGGTTGAAAGTTTCATGGCGAAGATCCCAGATGGAGACCCAGCACAGCACTTGATAGAGGAAGTTCTTTCTCGTGCAGCCAAGAAAGCAGGTAAACTTTGCATTTTATTTTTTCACAAATGTCTATCATTAGTCTGGAGATCT